ATTTAAAACTCATACCATTCTGTCACTTAAATATATTCCAAAAGCTCACGCAAACAGGTAAAGAATTCCGAGATCTATTAGTAATTGAGGGAATGTCTTTGTTTGACATGTACTGAGAAGATTTGTGCAGTCAAATATAAATTAATGTAAAAAAAAAAACTTCGGGGCCGGTCTTGACTAAAGGTATTATACAATCAGGGATTGCACAGAAACAATGTTATATTCCTCTGAAGAGACTGAAGAAGACAAATGAATCTTCTGTCCACAAATGTTTCCCTCTGTTGTCAAGAGACTGTTTAAGGAACAGGCAGCCAATCAGCTATCACCGAGCGCCTACAGGCAGTCAATCAGCTTTCTCTAAGCCACATACAGGCAGCCAATCAGCTTTCGCTGATCAGCGTTCAGGCAAATATCCCGCCCATGGTGCTCTGTCCGGGGCGGAGAGAGGTTAAAGAATTTAAATATCTAGCAGGTACACATGGAAAAATCATATTGAGAAAGTGGAAAAGAAGTGTAGGAAAACTTTAAATGCAACGAGGGCATTAGCAGGCAAAGAAGGGGGAGCAGAGAGATCATTAATGCTCACAGTGTATCAGGCTTTAATAAGATTGGTACTTAATTTTGGGTGTATAATATATGCGGCAGCATCAAAGACCATTTTAAAAAGACTAGATAGGATCCAATATAGAGCACTTCGAATGTGTATAGGAGCTGTAAAATCAACACAGATTAATGCTTTGATTGTGGAAACAAATTAATAACCATTATATCTGAGTAGGGAGAAATTGGCACAGGCGTATTGGTCATCTATTAAAAGCTATGCTGGAGATAACATTGTAAAAGAATCTTTAATAGATTGTTGAGAGTATACTAATAATAGAGGAAGAGGATTTGGATGGAATATACATAATATAGCAAAAATAAATAAATAAAATAAAACACCAAGTATTTAATATAGTGGGTAATAAAAGCCCAGTATGGAGTGAAGTCCCCTTATGGAAAATACCTGAAGTTGAAATCAATCTTGAGATCTTGGACAAAAGAAATGAATGGGAGGAATCAGGTACTATAAGCCAAATGTGTATAAGCTTGTAGCTGGAAAATACACAAATGTATACTGATGGATCTAAAGACCCAGATAAGGGGTTACAAGAATAGGAGCCTGTGTTCCTGATTTGGAAGTATTTTCTAAAAAAAAGAACAACATCGGAACTGTCAATATATTCTGCTGAACAGGTTACTATCAATGTGGGACTTGTGTGGATAGATAAACTTATCCACTTGTGTGGATAGGTGGAAAATAACTAAGATAAGAAACTTTGGTTATTGATAGTGGTTTAGAAATCATCTGGTTGGTGTGTTAGCTAATGCAGGACCAGCTGTGGACAATCATAGCACGTGATCCTCTCAAAAGTAGTTTATAAATAAACCATGTCAATGAACAGCCAAACTACATGAACAAGCTGCCGTTTTGAATATACCCATGTTTGTGTGGACAAGGCCTCAATGTTGAGGACTCTGCTCTCCATTGTGAAGCTTCATGTGAGTGCTGAGGCTTCTTTTACAATTAAAGCCCTTTCCACACTCACTGCATCTTAAACGCTCTACCGAATGAGTCTTCATGTGGTTCTTAATGGAGTCTTTGTGTGTGAGACTCTTTCCACACTGATCACATGTGAACACTATGGTTCCAGTGTGTCCATTCATGTGATTCATGAGGCTAGCTTTGGCTCTGAAGCTCTTTCCACACTGAGCACATGCAAACGGCTTCTCTCCAGTGTGAGTTCTCATGTGGTTATTAAATGTGCTTTTATATGGGAAATGTTTACCACAATCAGTGCATCTGTAAGGTTTCTCTCCAGTGTGAGTTCTCTTATGGTTATCGAGTGTGTTTTTATGCGTAAAGCTTTTACCACACTCTGTGCATGTGTAAGGTTTCTCTCCAGTGTGAATTCTCCTGTGGTTATTGAATGTGCTTTTATGTGTGAAACTTTTACCACACTCTGTGCATCTGTAAGGTTTCTCTCCAGTGTGAATTCTCCTGTGGCTATTGAATGTGGTTTTATATGGGAAACTTTGACCACATTCTGTGCATGTGTAAGGTTTCTCTCCAGCGTGAATCCTCATGTGGATGTTAAGGTTGTGTTTTTTAGCAAAATCTTTCCCACACTGTGTGCAAGTAAAAATTCTTCCCTTTTTGTGAGTTCTCATGTGAACTTCAAGGTTGCTATTTTGCGTAAAACTCTTTCCACACTGTTGGCATTTGTACGGCCTCTCTCCAATGTGAATTCTCATGTGGGCTTTAAAGCCATGAATTTTAGGAAAACTCTTTCCACACTGTTTGCAGGTGTAAAGTTTCTCCCTATTGTGAACTCTCATGTGAACATCAAGTTTTGGCTTTTGACTGAAACTCTTTCTACACTGGTTACTGCTGAAATTACACATATATTTGGATTTCCGAGGTCTTCCGTGTGATGAAGTCTTTTTAGTCAGTGTGGGTTTTTCATCAGTCAATATGTCTTGATGTTTCTCTTCCATTTCATTCCATTGATGAGTCTCTTCTTTCAGCACCATCAGGTCTTAAAAAACAAAAAAAAAACAAATGAACTTTTAGAATGAAGCCACAAAGCGACAAGCATGAAATGGATGTTTCACCCACAAATAAAAATGACTTTACCATTTACTCTCTGTCATGTGGTTTTAAACATTTCCTTTCTTCTGGAACACAAAGAAAGCCAGCGTTTTTTCCATAAGATCTTCTTTTGTGTTTAACAGGACCAAGAAACTCGTAAAGATTTAAAACCACACGAGGGACAATAAATAGTAAGGCTATTTTAATTTCTGCATCAACAATCCCTTTAAAGGATTCCTATTATAAAACCTTTTTTACAAGATGTAAAATAAGTCTTTAGTGTTCCCAGAATGTGTCTGAAGTTTCAGCTCAAAATCAGATCATATACCTTACAGAAGATTTAATTTTGGGGGTCAGAGGAAAACCTAGCTTTTTTTGTGCCTGTGGCTTTAAATGTAAATGATCAAATGCACTCGCTCTGGATTACTCATGCTGTGGGTTGTGCATTTTCCACTGGATTTAAACATTTGTAACTTGCTTGGAAGACCCGATTGAGACCATTCCTGCATGTTCATGGCAAGTATGCATAACTTACGCTTATTTTTGTGGGTTTGCATTCTTGTATTTAACTTGTGTTATATAACAAATGTTTCCCAGTACTGGGTTGCTGGAAGGGCATCCAATGTTTAAAATAAATGCTGGATAAGTTGGTTGTTCATTCCGCTGTGGTGACCCCTAATGAATAAAGGGACTAAGCCAAAGGAAAATTAATGAATGAACATATGCAAATGCTTAATGTCATGTTTGCTGTAAACTGGAGTGATGAGGAGATGGCAAGATGACATACTTTGCTACTTGTTTTCATTCATTTAAAGAGCTCTATTTTGACAGTCTATGCGCAAAACGGAAAGCACAGGGCGCTAACGCATTCAGGGTGTGTCATAATCTATATTTTCTAATATAAGGACGGGAAAATCCGCTTTGCGCCATGGCACATGGTCTAAAAGGGTTGAGTTTATTTTCTTAATGAGTTATAGGTGTGTTTTGAGAATAAACCAATCAGAGTCTCATCTCCCATTACCTTTAAGAGCCAGTTGCAACGCGCCATCAGCGCATTTGCTATTTACATGACGTAAAGTAAGTTCACTTTCGCTTTTGCTCTTTTGGATAGGTAAACCTTTACGCACAGACATCAATTAGCCTATAAATAATTAATTTCGTTTGTTAAGCGCAAAGATTTGTTTCAAAACGATTTCTAAATTCAGTTCTAATTTCCAGCAAACGAATAAATGAACAATAAAAATTAAGTGTGCTCAAAATACTGAGTTATTTCCAAATACACATGCTGTGCCACATATGGTCTAAAACCTGACAGGTGGACAAATCTAAGCTTGTTTTAAATAAAACAAATTTAAATATGGATATAATAAATAATACTGCTAATAATAATAACATTATACAAAAGCAAATTGAATAAACTGAAAAAGCCTCCCGAGATGAAGAAAGTATGAAGGCTGTGGTTTTTAAATTCATGTAGGCTAGAAATTAATATGTTTTGTAATATTTTAATCATTTATATTTATATCCTATATATATCCTTATTATATAAATCCTTAATATATTATATCTTTTTCATATGTAAAGATATTTGCGTATTGCTCTACATCTTGTGTGTAGTGTGTAAGCCATGCGCACTTTTCGCCAGACAATAGACAGACTTTGTTCTGGTCTAAAGATCAGACTATTTACAGTTTCTCAAAATAGCAACGCGCCAAAACACACCTGTTTTTTTAGACCAGAACGCCTGTGGGCGCACATTTGAGCGCAAATGCATTTGCTATTTAAACAGCGTGGCACAACACCTCAAAATGACCCTTGCGCCGAGCTGAAAGTAGCAAATAACAATTGTGTCGCGCCTTGCGCCACATTGTGCCTGGTGTAAGATAGGGCCCCAAGTGTTTACACTTAACGATCCTCAAGCCTGAGGCTCCCTCCCATTTGCAAGGCGAAAGGGAAGTTTAAGCTCGGGTAGATCTTGAGAACTAATCGTCTGTAGTAGCTAATAAACAGAAAGTGATTGCTCTTAAGAGATAACTACTTACTAAGAGCATGTCTAAGGTGCTGATTTGGATTAGTCAAGTAACTTAAGTTGCATGTTTTTGGACAGTGGAAGGAAACCGGGGAACCTGGAAGAAACACACGTGAGCACCAGGAGAATGTGTAAACTCTGCACAGAAACGTCAGCTGGCTTGGTAAGGACTAGTAACCTTCTTGCTATTATGAGGCAACAGTGCTAACCTCAGGGCTTTTGTGCCACCGAACTAGGAAAGGAGAAGAAGTAGGGGTGGAAGGTGGGATTCTTTGAAACGAAGATGGCTGTGATATGGAACTCAGGGTATTTATAGTGGTTTAGGAATCTTCTGATTGGTGAATTCTAAATTAAATATGTGCGAGACCAGCCGCAAGCAATTCTAAGCATGTGATTGTCTCGAAATAAGTTTATAAACAAACTTCACTTGTACTTGTCCTTGTTTTCTTGGCTTTGTGCATGTTCTGATGCTTAGATGAAGACTTACGTTATGACATTTTATAAACCCGACACGATGCAGAAATGCCATCTAAAAAGGTTACCTGCTATTTGTCCAATCAGGGACAGTGACAACGGAATTATACAAATAATAATGTTAACCCGGGGGTACTTTTTCATGTGTCAAGAGTCTTCATCATGTATTTCAATGCATATCAATGTATTGAGGTCTACATTTAGAGAATATTTGCTTAATTATAGTAGACTAGGTCTAATAATTTTTATATATTTTTTTAATCGGCCTAAGGAATAACTGTATAAATTAATTTTGCATCAAAAAGCATTTTCATATCAGTAAAGGTATCAATGTGCTGGAGATACTGTTGTCCTGAAAAATTGATAACATAAAATAAAAACCCTTGCATATACCGTAGGGACAGAACAGCAGAAAATATTGGCAGTTTTAAAACCTTGACTTTTCCAAACTGCGGTATAGCTTGAAAATGCTATTATTTACTACCGCGGTGCTAAGTCACCAACAACCGCCGGTGTGGCAGTTGTGGTGTTTATTTAATTTATTTAGGGGTGTGGGGCTTAAATTCATTTTAGCACAGACGCAACTGCCTTTCATTTTCACATTCGTTTTTCAGTTAGGGATTAGGTCTATTAGAGTAACCTAATAAAATGTTTTGTTGGACACTGCACAGTAGTCTACACTATTATTATTATTATTATTATTTATTATAGTCATTATATATATTAAATATATATACATTATATTATATTTAAAACCAATAAGCTATACAATTAATAAAACAAAACCCTTTTTAAAGTTTGCTTTCATTTTGACATCGCTAAAAGTTGTAATAAGAAACATCCCCTTATGCAGCAGCAGTCTTAAATTAGGACACTTAAAAATGCCTTTTTGGGTATAAAGATGATCAGCCAGCCAAGTCAAGTTCACAGTGTCATAAATTAATGATTTATGATCATTAATATTCACAAATATTAATTGCATAATAATTACTCTTCTCTCTCTAGACTTTGTTTTAGGGCTTGTTCTTTTCTGCACAATATAGGTTTATTGCAAGTACGAATCAGATTATGAAGAATGATTAAGAGCTTGCATTTTTTATTGCATCCTTTTCGCAAGTTATTTTATTTAGCAGATCTCTACACTGCGGAGCGGGGCATTCTTAACTACTAATTATGTTGCTCCATTTCTCGTCAATGTCCTTCATGTATCTGGCCATTTTTTGGAAATGCCTCTGCCATACCTGGCTGACTAGCTGGGCTTTTTGTGTTTAAAAGAAAGGAGTTGATTATAGCCTATGTGGCTTTTTTTCTCTCGCCGCCATCAATGTCCACTGGTTTGCATGGTTCAGGACCTGTGGAGCTGCATATTGATGGATTTGCTCTTCAGTGTTTGGACACTCCGCGGTGAATATTAAAACACTTTTTAACACTCAAAAAAAATTTCAAAAAGCTTAATTCAAATTAATTGGTTCACATTTCTCGGTCGGCAAAAATCCAGAATGTTCCCAGATGTAAGACTGGGTTTTCCAACAAGAATCAGGGTTGAACTTGAACTTGCTGTATCGCGTCTAATATTATATTCTAACAGAAATTTAATACTTAACATAATACTTAACATAAATGTAACATAACGGTAATTTATGTTTAAAGGTGCGTGACGTCACGTGCTACCACCGGTGGCAACGGACAACCGCTGTGGCAACTGACCACCGCGGTGACGCTGTGGTCACGGTGACCATCACAGCCCTACCAATGCCTAAGCAGAATAACACTGTTTTTAGGATTTAAAAATACATTCTCTACAAAAAGTCTCAAGCAAAAAGATTTCAATGGCGCCACCTGCTGGTACGTGAAGAACATGTTTAATACTGACGAACTTTACGCTCAAATCAGGGCCAGATTAAGAACACATTAAGAACACATTAGCCACATCTCCACTATCGGGCCAGTGCGAGCCAGAGCTTTTATCAGGCTGGGCCAATCGCCCGTCAGGTTGAGTAATGAGGCCAAAGTCATGTCGCGTTTCCACTGTCGGGCTAGTAGCTTGCAGCGCGTCATGCAAACATCGCCCCCAGAAAGTCCCCCGAATCAAACGTCACACAACCCGCCCACTTCAGCGGGAATAAAACTGCACTATCAGGCAGATAAAACACACCAAGGAATCATCACGAAACGAAACCATTAAAATGAAGACAAATGACACGTTTCTGTACAGCAGTACATTATATGTCTATACGCATAGACCTGTGAATTTCCATTTATTACATTTGTTTACTCACCGACCGACTGTTGGCATTGTGCATCGAGTGCTTTGACACTAACGGAATGACCCAACATAGAGAGCGCACACATCCATAATATAAAGCCACAGAAATTCTCCGTTATAACTCGGTATAAAATGTATTTTATAACATCCTTGGTTTGATAAACGTCGTGTTA